GATTGGTATCTACACGCACCTACCACCGGTCGGCGAAATACGATGCTCTCTCTCTCTCTCTCTCTCTCTCTTTTCATCTTGATGTCGTGTGTGCAGCGCGTGCACGCGCGTGTGTAAGTGCAATGCGTATAGAAGCGAGCGGGCTCGTAGCACGCGATCGTCAAACCCAAAGCCGTAAACGTAAACAAGGGTTGTTAGGTCGGCCTCTAGGCGAAAGCGCGGGTACTTATGATCGGATCTAAATATTTTCTACCCCTGCCAACCGCAGTGACTCTCAACATTGTTTCGCACGTTTTCCTTAAAAGCGCATCGGCAAATGAAAATATCGGCGAAAAAAAAAACGCTCATATTTGAATTAACGTTCGATAACGCGCAATAACAAGCTTTTACTGACTGGACGAAATCGTTCGTGGTTCGCGAAACTCATAAATTTTTTTGTGAATCGATTTGGAACCAGTTTCGACCACCGGGCGCCGTTTATCACCGAATATCTATGTACATCGGCAAACGCGGATCGCGTGACTCTTAATATCAAAGCGCTTATTGATCGCTCGCAATTAATTACCGGACAACCGGATACACCGGTAGTGAATCGTGACGTGAACAATCTGACGCTAGAGCGGCCCGCCGGCCGATTGTCCGCTCAAAGGGAAAAAAGCTGTTGATTCACGCGTCGGTTAAACCAACCAAATTACTTTGTACAATCAACGGAACGAATACTGTCGGGTCGGTGTAAAGCAAACTAGTTGCGCACAGATATTGACATTTTTATCCAGTCGACGCGCGTATCTATTGATTTCGACCCCGTCCGCCCGCCTTTCGCCGATTGAAAGCTCCTCTGTTACGTCTAAACTGGTACCGCCGGACATCGATTTATATATATACATACAAGATCGTCCTGGATTCCCATTGAACTCGCGGGGCATTAAATGAGTTGGAACGCGAAATTTTCTCGCATATTCCGCGAGTATTTTTGCATTTAACTAGATTCTCTGTTACGGCTACGCGAATATTTTTAACATTAAATGTCGTTTTTCAGCTTGCACGCCCGCACAGCGTTTTCATGCCGGTCATTTTATATACTTTTGCAAAAGCGACGGTATCGCAAAAAATTTTTTTTATAATTTATGATGAAAAAAAAAACCCAGGCCAAACGAATACCGCGATGCTTGCAAAAATAAAAACAATTTTTTTTCCCCGTAACATTTTCAACGGGCATAAAGCTGCGACGGTACGAGCGTGTCAAAGCGCGAAGCGTCCCGGATATCACACGCCCCGAAGTTTCAATGCGCTTTCCGTCATGCGGTACGAACCACCGCGAACAGATTACGATGTAGTGCGCGAGCACGGTTTCTGTCGTTCTGTCGACGCGACGCGACGCGACGCGACGCGACGCGAAAATGCGGTATTCATCCGAGCGCAAGAAGCGGAGGTTGCGTCACTCCTCTCGCGGGGTCAGAGAGGAAGATACGTAGCGGATACACGAGCCGGATTTATGAAATACGCCGCGGCGCATTCGCATCGGAGATTGCCAAGCGGTGAAACCGCACAGCTCGGCAAAAACACTTCAGGGTCGCGCAACACACTCCATCCAGAGAGATCGTGATGTCGGACGAATGTGCGAAAATTGTCCGATCGCGTGAGGTCGCACGTTAAACAAACCGGAGGAGCGAACGGTATCTGTGTACACGGTGTTTCAAAATATCGCAGTCATTAAATTTCGCGAGAAATTTTGCCAACAAATTTAGAGTCGACTTTTTTTTTCATTAAAACATCGACAAAGTCAGCTTGGAAAAGTGATTTCTTTCTGAAATTCAAACTTTTTAATACAAACTACCGAAATATTTAATATTTCCAAACAAAGTTGACAAAGGGAGAAAAAAATCAACTTGATGTCGCAGCGTCATGTCGCCTTTAAGAGATCTTTTTTTAATGACAAAATGTCACGGCCGTAGCGCGGGGCGGCAAGTTATCCGACCGCAGCTGCGCTCTTTCAGACCGGGAACTTGTGATAGTTTAATGAGCGACGTCGGCTGAGTTTTGAACGATCGCGCGTGCTATAGCCCTGCCGAGCGGCGGCTAGCGGCAGACAGCAGCTCGAGAGATCGAAAGTGAACTCGTCGTCGGCAGGATCGCGCGCACGGGTTCGACGACCCCGGAACACACCGTCTAGGAGCTATATCCGCGCCCGCGCGAGAAGGTGGATGATGGTGGAAACGATAGAGAATTTACGAACACGCAGCCTTTGAGATACGCGCACCTGCGAGCTCGCGATTGACTTGCCTTCGGCCGGATATTCATACACCCGGCGGCCGTCAGCCGAGTCCCGTGAGCGAGGCCGAACGCGATACCGGCGCGCATTATCATTGCATTATACGATAGTGCGCTTTTTTCACATAACACGAGCGCGAGGAAGCGCCGTGTCGCGCCGTTATCGGCGAAAATCGGCGATTTGCATGCGGCGGTGAACCGTTGCCGCGAAAACGGGATACGATAAGGTTGTTGAATTTCCCTCGGCGTTCCTTCTCACGTTCGCGGACACGTTCGTTCGTTGTGTTCGCCTCTCCTCGACGTCGGGGCACTTTGAAATTTTTCACATCGCGTAACTCGCTTGAAGATTCACCGGTACACCGCCGGACGAGCCTGATATTTGCGGCGAAAGATAGTGACGTGGCGCGGAAAAGAAGCCGTGTCGTGCCGGAGGAGTCCATAAAACTTTGAACGAAGAGCGACTCTCTTCTGCCTCCTCCTCTATGACTTCTTAACCACGCTCGCGATTTATTCATACGTATGACCGGCAGCGCGGTACGGATACACGTGGATACACCGGAGTGTACCTCGAGCAAAATGCTCGCCTCGTGCTTGCGAGCTATATTTGATGTCGGTATAAGTGCGCCTCTATCGATCGACTTTGCGCGGAGGGTCGCGGCTTTTCATCTCGATCGAATCGACTCGCGAAAGAAAGAGTTCGCGATGATTAGTTGGATTGAGATAATCGCGATAACTTAATACGACTTAATGAATCGTTCCTGCAGAACTCCCGTGCCCAAATAAATCAAGGGCGAATGAAATTTCCGTTGAGGGGATTGTATTTCCTCGAGACAATCTGCAGAACCTTTCGGGGTAATAATGCGCGCGAGAGACAGCGCGCTGTCTCCTTCTTTCCCTCTGTCTTCCTTTCCCCTCGCTCGGCTTTCACGATTAATCGGGAACATCTTCGGCGCACGCGGGACGCAAAAATGTTGTCTACGTAATAGCGACGAGGCACCCTCGGGCGCGCAAACGGGCAGGGGGTTCTCTTTAAACACCCCCTTCGGGTTCGCAGGTGCGGGACGTGGCAAGACGCGGCGCGGAGAGCCGGGAGGACGGTGTGAAAGCCGCTGTCGTAAAACCGCACACTTAATTTGCCTTGCAAAATTCAGTCCCTCTTTTTCCCCCGATCCTCTATCTCTCCCGGCTCTCTTCGTCCCCCTGGATTCTCTTCGTCGTCGCCGACTACCACCGCGACGACGCTTTCAGATCGGGCAACGAACGAACGAACGAACGAAGCACCGCCTGCTTCCCTTCCGCAGTGGCTTCTCCGCGGAGAGAAGGAGAACAACGAGCGAGAAAAGCGAAAAGACTCGAGGGGGCGGACGGGAGGGCGCAGGGGGCGAGAACGGGACGTACGGTGGAAGAAAAGTGTGCTTAAAATATTAACGCCGGAGGCGCGCTCGGTGCGGCGAGGTAGGGCACGGTGTTCTTTGTTCGAGCGGGCGATGGAGGGCCGCAGGGTGTAGTATGAAAGAGGGTTGCGCAAACACCCGCCGGCAGTGACGTTCGCTCGCTCACTCGCGCTCGTTCGAAATACTGTAATAGTACTACGTACGGTACGTACGTATGTACGTACGTACGTACTTACACCCCCTATGCCGCGGAGAGGCCATCAACCTCCTTGTCGTGCAAAATAATATATGAAATATGCGCCATGTCGTCGCGGGCACTCCAGCCGAAACTTTCCGCCGTCGAGAGCGGAGACGCTAATGAAAAACTTTGAATTTTCCATGAAGGACTTACCTTAAGTCCTCGATGTGCGCCGCCTCCGTCTCGTCGGCCTGCTGCCTTCGATTTCCATTCCCGACGAGGAAGCTCGAAGATGATCACGCGGCATCGATTGCTTGTTGCTGGAACAAAAAAAAGAAGAAAAAAGAAAAGATTATTTGGTGGAAGGATAAATAAGTCGACAGGAAGGGAGGGAATTCTCTTTCTCTCTCTCTCTCTCTCTATCTCGGCAAACGTTGCGTGCCGCGAAACCATCGCGCATCGTAGACTTTCACACACGAAGAAACGGACACTCAGGCTGCACGAAATATTTGAGTTGCTCGGCAAACACGTAAATGTAAACGTGGCGTTTACATTGCCGTTTACTCTGCCCCGCCTCGCCCCACTCGTCCCGCCCGCTTCCCCGCCGCCGCAACTCGAAGCCCTCGGGCGTTTACAGGCGGTGGAAGCGGGTGTGTTGCTCGAGACGAAGGTGCCGGTACACATCGCAGAGAGCGACGGCGGCAGAAGGAAGAAGGCGGAGGCGGCGACGGAGACGTCGGCAACGCGTAGTAAGCGGGATCTCTCGCTCGCTCGCTCTCTCGCTCGAGTCGACTAACCGTCGAGCAAATATTGACGGAGCGGGATATTGCTCCCAATGCTTGTTTGTTTATTTCAATGCCCGTGACCGACGGGAGCTCCGCGGGTGGTTCGTTTACTCGGGGGGTGCGACGCGAGGAGACACGGCGACACACGCAATGCACACACGCGGCTATTTATATCGGCTCCGATATGTATATCCAGCCCAGCGCGAGCGAGCGCGCGCGCGATTTCCTCGAGAATGCCTAACGATAGCCATCGACGGCGATCTCGCGCTCCTATTGTCGCGCTAGTCTTTTTTTCTCCTTTTGATGAATGAAAAGAACGAACAAGAAACGGTTCTCGAAGCGGACTATTTGCGAACGAACTGTATTATTATTACGTTAGTATTATTGGAGAGAATGCAAGAAAAATAGTATAATAATAGAATTAAACGAAAGAAATTAAATAAAATTAGCTACAGTCACGTTCCAATTTTATTCTACCATTAAATTCTAATTTCCACAAACCAAATTCTAATTTTGCGCATTCAAAATGCATTATAGCGTGTCTCGGTTCCTATCTTTTTTTCTATTTATTTACACTTTTTTTTTTAAACTTTCCTAGTTTAGTTTCATCTGTTTTTACTTCTTCATCTTTAAAATAAAAATACATTATCGTATAGCTTATATATTTTCTCACTGGTCATACTTTTTTATACTTCCGCTATGCTTTTGAAATTTTTCTATTTCAGCTTCACCCTTCTTTACCTTCTCATATTTAAAATAAAGTAGGTATGTATTTATATTATGGAAAAAAGGAGAAAGAAGATTAGAACATGCACAGGCAATATGCACAGATTTAACGTTTCAAGGCATCAGACTCAAGTTCTGCCAGCGGAGAATATTTATCGAGTTCACCCGGCAATATCGGCGATGGCAAAAAGTCGATCGGCGCTGTCGAGCCAACCGACAGCGGCCGCGACACCGAAATGAACAAGTTACAGCGTCGCGACGCGGCTCGACGCAATGCGATACACGATACGAGCATCGAATCCATCCACCCACGCCAGCGCGCAGTGAGTGTCGATACGCGCCGCATTCATCTAGCTATTCGCAACGATCGTGTACCCCGCGTGTCGCGCGTGTCTCGCGCGCTAGTTGGCCTGTCCGCGGACGTGCGCGTGTTCCTCGGCACGTTTGCCCGCTGCCCACGCGCGTACACCTTGTAAACAACACGGCCGACGCCTGTCCAACAGAAACAATTAAGCTTAACTAATAACCGCGCGGAACTATTGCCGCATCGCTTCGCACCGCGCGTAGAGAGAAATCGTGCGTGCGACAAGCGAAGATTGCGCAATTTACCCGATTTGACGTTTCTATTTTATGCATTTCTAAATTTTCGTTTCAAACCTTAGTTTGATCGTGAATTGTCGCGTCGCGCGAGAAAATATATTTTTTCTCCTCGCCGTGACGAAACATGGGCAAATTTTCGCAGCTTAGATAATCGCATGTCGCGAAACGGCACTCCCGAGAACGTTTGAGTACCACTGGCGAACACTTGATTACGTCAGTTAGGCGGTCGCGGCTCAATTCTGGCTATGAGGTAGCCAACCCCTTTCCAAAGCTATCCGCGCCGCCTCCCTCGTTGCTCGTAGCGCGCCGGCAAAGCCAATGTGCGCCCTTCTCGTCTCCTCCTCTCGCGCTCACCCTCGTCGTCCCAACCCCCCCGGTCCGTCCGCCTTCCGCTTCCGACAGACATCGTACAAGCGTACAAGCGTGTACCTACCACTATCATGGACTGCCGCATACGCGAAAGGGGGATGCGGCAACACCATCCCCCTTTCGGCCTACGTCGACGAGCAAGCGCGCGTATAGCTCGAAGCCAGCGGATTGCGACGTGGGTTCGAGGCACTAAACGTAATTAAACGGATAGTTTCCGCATTAGCCACGATTGGATAATCATTCATCGATTATCTCGGCTACACAGAGGGTGACACAATACGCCGTTGCCGCCGCTACCACTCGTGTTGCACCACCGATGCGATTCGACGAAGCGAAGCGCGTACGCTTGAAACGCGCGTCCCGAACGTCGCGAAACCAAAACACGAATCGCGAAAGATAGACAGATTTACGGCGGAAAGATTGCCGTCAAATATTTGCGTTTCAAGTCTCCCTCTTTCTCCCATCTTGTTTTTCTCTCTCTTCGCAGTGGCATGGTACGTGTATCGATTCGTCGAGGATACGATCCTCGAAATGGTAAGAGGAAGGGAAGGGGGACGCCCGGGCGGGCCTCGCGTGTGTCGAGGCAACTCGTGCGTGCGAAAAACAATCTTCCGCTCGGTTGCCGGCCGGACACCTCCGAGAAAAAGATCGACGCACGCATTATGTAAAAAGCCAGTCAGAGCTCGACCCGGCTCGACTCGACCGGCCGGCCGGCCGGTCGGCCGATCGTGTCATGAATTATGTAACGCCGTCTAATTAATTCGAGATTTCGACTTCTCGCGGCTTCCACGAAGCCGGGAGGCGTAGTAGGCTCGCGATAACAGCGCTTTGCTTCTCGTGTACTCGGATTCGACGCACGCGATACTTTGGCTCCTGTGAATTTTTGAATCTGAGAAAACTCGGACGCCGCATGAATATGCGGCGACGTATTTTTAAATCGCTACTGCTATCCGCAAACTCCAGGAATGCCGCCTTATTTTTCACATATCTCTCTCTTATATATTTCTATTGACAGAAATTATTTTAACTACGCTCCTCGCACGCGATAATTTATAGAGAAAGGAAATGTGTCTTTAAACTTATACGACTGCGATAAAAATTATACGTTGCTAAAAATAAGCACCTTCCTTGCTATTTCGATGATTTATCGGTAAGTTACGGAAATTACTATGCTCCGAGAGCGCTTACCGAGGAATTACGGGAAAGGGACCGGCGTTCGACGGTAAATTACCGTGACTCCGATCGCTAAGTAGAAGAGCGCCGCGTCATCCTCGCTATTTACACGCTTCCCTTTCTAGAAATACGACGGTAGAAATGTTTTCGCGTGAGAAAATGCTCGGGGCCACAGGAGGGCCAAAGAGGAGAGCGGCGGAACGACGACGAGCGGAGGAGAATGAAGTCGATTGGAAACGCCGGGGCCGAAAGATTACTTTTCTCCTCCTTTCAGCTCTCGCCTCTTCTATCTTCCCTTTTTTTTTCTCTCTCTCCTCTTCGACTTAGAGCTCAAGCACGGGCGTTCTTCCTCCGGGCCGATTTCACTTAATTCGAGAGGAGTGCACAAGGTTTGCGAAATGGCCGAGGGGAATCCTGAGGTAAGAAGAAGAAGAGGAAGGGCGCGGCGGGAGCGAGGACCGAAGGAGAAGCGTAAAAGCGAAAAAGGAACGTCTCGAATTCGCCAAAGATCTATCGTGTGTCTCCCTCTCAGCGACGCTTTATTCCTGAACATACATTTTTGAACGCGGGCTCGTTATTAATTTCGCCGTACCGTAAGACACGCGATTCCGCGCGCGAGCGAAATTACATCGTTCGAGTTTTGTCGTACGGCAAGTTGTTATCGAGAGGGATGAGCGAGAAACTGGATCGAGATACACGGCGGGGTGGGTGTTGAGAGAGAGGGAGACCTGTAAAAGCTTCGGTGTATCATAACGAATTCTCTTTGGATACCATTATCGCAGCACGCGCCAATTACCCTGAACGAGTGGTGAAATGATTTATGCGCCCTACGGTATATATATATATATATATGTTAAATATATACGTATTTCCGTATGTATATATATATCCTTGCTCCTTGTAAAGAGGGGTCGATTCACTTTCCGTCCCCTGGTACTTCCTATATTCGCAGAAAATATCGCGACTAAGCAAGCAATTTTGATCATAGAGAATTTTCCGGTCGAAAATAATTTCACGGGTAGTAACGAGCATCAGATAAATAATTAATAGCGTAAATTTATCACATTATTACGCGATTAGTAGCGCGTAATAATTATTAATTTGTAATTACTATTGTCCCGTGATCGCGCGACATGTAAGTAGAAGCTTTGTAAAAGTATTCAAGACTGCGGAAATGCTCGATCGCGCATTAAAATAGCGTTAAAACGCGAATTAAAACGATTTTACTCGAAAGGGAACATCGGTCCGAGAGACATTGCGGATAATTACTGTCGGCATTATATGAAAATCGCCTTCGGAACTAAATTGATATTTATTAAACGGCATCACGGGACGGGAGAGAAATAGCGAGAATGAGAAAAGAGAGGGAGAACGAGCGAGCGAGCGAGCCGGCGGTCGGACTCGATCGATTACAGTCGTAATGAACGTACACAACGGCACATAAATGTTTCGAAAGATCCGACGAGCCGCGCGCACGTATGCGGCTGTATATGGCGTATTTGTGGACGGGCTCGTCCGGAAACCGTTGTTATCCCAGTTCTAATTCGACTCCCAGTTAAATTATTATCGGCGACCGGCATTTCGTGGCCTGCCAGCCGTGCTCGGCTTTTATACGGCCCGCCCGACAATCACAACGCGACGAGACCACCGTTGCTACCTTTGTTATC